CAAATGTGTACCCTGCTCGGTGCAAACTTGATCTTTGGGATCCTTCGGAACCCAACGAAGCGCACTTACCTGAATCACACCTGAAGCTAGTTCGAACCTGTCATACTCCAGGTTGGCAACTCAACATTTCAGCAATTCAGTTTATATTTTTTATAACAAACATCCCTTTTGCTTGGGGGTGGCAGGGATGGTCCTAGACCCGTTTTGGATGGACACCAGGCGGGCAACTTGCAATGACCTGGTTCATGATTGAGGGATATTCATGGAGCCCTTAATAGGGACCAATACAACCAGGCTAAGGATTGCTAGGGAACCATGACCATAGGAGAGCGATTCGATGGTCAAGGTCCTTTACTGCGAGGTTCCCTTATTTGTCACCTTGGATTTGAAGTATGTCGTTCCAAATAGCAAGCCAACCCCAACACGGTGAGCCTCAAAAAAGGCAACACCCATAGTTTTTTTTGTTGAACACACAAAGGGTTTAGCTTCGTCGAAAGGTTCGCCTTGGGGCACTTGCGTGATACATTGTGTCGCTTGTCGCCTTTTGGCCAACCCTTCTAGAAACTCGGGCGCGTAGTCTCAGTGTGTAAGCCCCGAAACAAGAAAGAAGCCCGGCTCACATGGGTGGCCCGTCTTCTTTTTTGAGTTGGTACCCCTTGTCTGGTGGCTTTAAAGGGAAGCCAAAGGAAAATCATTTTGGAGGGTCCAAGCTTTGAAAGGACACACGCGTGTCTGCATTCCTCGACTCCTCTGGCTGGTGGCCGCCGTTTGAGAGGCCTCGAGCGCGGAAGAGCAACGGCGCTTCCTGGAGGCTTGTGATGCAGCGACCTGGCAGAGCTTGCATGGCATTGGTTTCCAAAACACTCCCAGTGACGAAGGGTTGATCCCAAGCTGCTTTCCGCCTGCAAAATCGAGGAATATGTGAATCACGGTCAAAATATGCGTGGATCAGCAAGAACGAAACTACATAAACACCTCCTTGACGAAGACAAGTTATTTTGACGGTAGCTCATGTGGGTTTTCCTTTTGTTTTCCCTTTGAAGGAACCTCAAAAGGGTGTCTCCAATCACGGAAGCAGACAATCGGAAGGTCTTGGAAGGCAACTATCCTTGCGGGGAACTTGTTTGAACATTTTGCGGGGAACTTGTTTGAAGCAGAGTGGAGACAGCTTTGCAGCGACTAGTGTAGGCGCATTACAGGACTGGAGGCAAGGTCTGTCTTGTCCGCTGCTATCATTGTACTTAGGAGACTGCCAATGCAAGGCCAAAACAGCTATGGTCACTAACTGTCTCCTCTCGGACCAGCAGCTTAGGGTGCTGGATGACATTGGGTACGGCGCGCATGTCATCAGCCGAATACCCCCCAACTGTTTACCAAAAAGAGAGCGCCGCTAAATCTACCTCGTCAACAAAAGCCAAGCCACCGGAGGAAAAAAAACAAAAAACGCAGGTCTTAGTCCACGGGTTGCCACTTCCCAGGGTCCACTTTTGCAAGCGATTTTGGACCAAACCACGCCACACGGATCACTTTTGGGGCGAACTATTTTTGTAAAAACAAGAAAAACAACAATCAACAACAACAAATACAAAACGGATCTTCCCGGCTCCCCTCAGCGCACTTCAGGTGGTGGTGCCGGCTCGCCAGGACTTCTATGGCGTAGGGGTCATCGAAAGCTGGGCCGCCGCGAGGCCGGCAGCGAGCGAGCGCTCGCGGAGTCGTTCCCGCGCGCGTCCTTCCGCCGTTTCCCGGGCGGACGGGTACACTCAGACTCAAAACGGCCACACCCAGATCCACACCCAGTGGATCTACAGACAGCCTCCAAGAGATGGAGTGTTTTCACTCTCTCAGACGATTCCATGGAAGCTCCCAGGACTCGTTGGGAAGACTTGGTTCCACAGAGGCCTTCTGGCAGCTTCCAAGTTAGGATGAGGGAGAGTAGCGAGGGAATGGCCCCCTGCCAAAAAGCGGGTGCCACCTCGCCGCGTTTTCAAGAGTCCGACGGCCAACAATCGGGGTAGACCATTGTTAATACCAGGTCTTGGATTTTTCGGCCATCAGGTCCTCATGTTGACCCCGGAATCGGATGAGACGCACCCGTCCTGCGGTGGATGGGTGCGACAAGAATACGCACCACCGGAATTGCTGATGATTCGATTCCCCAACGTAAATACCGACACACGTTCTGGTTTCAACCAGGGTTTCAAGCAGGGTTGGGGGTTGGGGGGGGGGGGTTGCATCGGGACTTTCAGCACGCCAGCAATGGGAAGGTCCCCGTAACAATCAAATGGAGTGGTGCTGGTTCTTGTCCCCCAACCTCCAAGCCGTGCACCCTGGGAGCCCTTAAAGCCCAAAGAGGCATGTGGACCATGGACCACCCCTGTGACGGCTCCCGAAACAGGGTGCTCAGCCCAGAATTCGAATTTCCGGGATGGAACTCCAGGCGGCTCCTTTTTCGAACCTCCAAAAGTGGCGATCGTTTCAATGGAAACCGGCAGATTCAACGAGCCAGCCAGCAAATGGATCTCAACCTTTGTGGCTGGAAATCCAGTTGAGGCCCGCGGTTTCAATTGGAAACCGGTAAATGGAGCACATGGCAAGTTTGGACTTTTTTGACCAATCCGCCCAGGAAGTGAGGTTTCAGCCGCGGTTATAGGTGGTGCAACTGGGGTGACCGTCCCCTCCAGTTGCGCCATGGTGAAGTAACCTACTCCCCTCAGTCGCCTCTTTCTGTATTTTTTCCCTCGTTTTGCTTTGTGTTTTTTTCTCCTGGATTTTGCCTTATTTGGCGACCCCAACTAAAAACACGCGAAAAGGCTCGGTGGATCTCAAGCCTTTTTGCACCTAAAGAGGCCCGTGGTGGGCAACACCTGCGGGGAGCTGCGGCATCTGATCCAGCCGGACGTCACGGGGTACATGGTGGACCAGGCCCGAACACCACCCCCAAAAAAGGGGGACAACAAGGGAGCCCCCCCTTCCCCCCCCCCCCCCCCCCGGGTTCCGGGTTCCGGCCTGTTAGTTTTTGGGGGGGTTTGGTTTGGGTGTTACTAGGGCTTCCCGGTCATTCGCACCTTGAAGTTGCAGTTTCAGGGACTCACGATCCCCCCCCCCCCCCCCCCCCCCCCCCCCCCCCCCCCCCCCCCATCCCCCCCCACCCCCCCCCCCCCCCCCCCCCCCCCCCCCCCCCCCCCCCCCCCCCCCCCCCCCCCCCCCCCCCCCCCCCCCCCCCCCGTTGCAACTTTTTGAGATCAGTGGAAGCCCTGTCTGAAGTGGGGTTTTTTTTTTTCTCTTATTGTCCTGCCAACATCAACCCCCAACAAGAATCATTTGTTTGAGGATGCACCCCTTTGCCCTCGTTCTGGGTTCCGTATTGATTTGCGTTCTGGAGTCACCCGAGGGCCAAAGCCCAGATGGGATCCCAAAAGGAAACCAAGAAGAAAAACTCGCAGAGGGCTCTCAGGACCCTTGAAATGGCCACAACTTTGTGAAAGGGACCCGAGGTTTTTCTTGGGGCTTTCTCTCCCCATTTTGAGGGTCTGCAAATGAACGCTTTGGAACACCTCATGTGTTCTGGGCGAATCCTGACGAGCACACTTGCCATGAATCCCTTTGAACGGCGGCCCAAAACGTGATGTCCAAAACGGGTTCCATTTGGTTTCCTTGAAACCAACCCCAAACCTGTACCAAGGCTCTAAAAAAGACACACTTGTTTGAGCAGCTCATAAAATAAGTGGAGCTGAAACTCCATGTTAAGCCTGAAACAAACCCTTCACCACCAACCATTTGAACCCTTGAAATTTGGCTAGCGACTATGAACCCCCACGCCAATGTTGCTCGCCAAAGGGTCCGCACTTCAAATCCCCACCTGGCCGCAGGAAGCTGGCAGCCTGTCCTGGGGCCTCTGCAAGATTTGCGAGAACCGCGAGCACGCGCGCCGCCGGGCAGCCTTTTTTTTTTCGTTCTTCTGTTTCCGCTCTTTTGATTTTGACGCTGGGGAAAGGACCAGACCTAGCAAAAGCCAGACCTAGTATCAAAAACAACCGGTGGTTCTGGCAAGCCATTGCTCTTGTCCTTCGGCCTGTTTGTTTTCTTTCTGGGACAGCTGGTCTCTGTTTTTTCCCCAAACAGCTTGCTGTAGGGGTTCTTGATTGATTCTTTCGCGCCTCTTCCACGGCTCTGCACGCCTCTCTGGATGCCACCCTTGGCTGCCGAACTCATTTGTCTCCCAGCTTGGCGGCTGATGCTGCTGGCTGCTGGTTGCTGCTGCCTGCTGCCAAATGGCCTGCTGCCAGATGTGCTGTTTGGTTTGGGTGTAGAGTGTGTTTTTAGGGTGGTGCCGGGTTTGCTTAAGGTTGGCTCAGGGAGACGCGGCAAGCAGACTCATAGCTGTCTTTCTGCGGAACCTTACGCTTTCAACAGCGCACGCAAACGCAAGTTTCCCAGCGAGGCTGTGTCCACGAAATGGGTGTGGGTCAAAATATAGGTACCCAAAATGGAACCCTGTGCAGTCGCCTGGTGAGTTTTCGCCCACACCCAAATGTTTTGGTCACGCTTCCCGTACGTTTCGCCGCGGCACGGCTTCCTCTTGGCCTCTTGGCCTGTGGGCACTGCTGCGCGCCACCCAGTCTCAATCAGACCCAAACCCACCCTGACCTACCCAATCCTACACCAACCCAGTGTAACCTGTCCTGTTTTTCCATGCTGTTTGGAGTTTTCACAGGTATTTGTTGTTTCAACCTTGGCCAAAGTGGAACCCCGACACTGCCGGAACTCAGCGATGAACACGTGAAGTGGGTCCCGAAAATGCTCCCAATGGCCGAGATGCCGCACAGGCTACTTGCGACCTCAAAGGCACCCATTGGTTCCCACGAGAATACCCCACCAAAAGGAGTCTGGGAGACATGAAACGAGAAATGGACAGCATGCGCCACGAGCGGCGTGACCCAAGTGACCTTGAGCGTCCATGGTGCCGAGGCTGGATGGGGAAGCAAGGCTGGCAGCAAGTTCCTTGGCCGCTTTTTCTTGGTGGCTCCCAGCCATCCCCTTAGCCTTTTAGCCTTTTAGTGTTTAGTGGTAGTTTCCATTTAACCCACTAAAAGTTAAACTTTGGGGGGGGGGGTCTGAGGGCAGCCCAGTTTTGTGATCTCCTTCTCAATGATCAAAGGAAGTTTAACAAGAAACTTCCGTAGTACTGGAACTAAATGAGCTAGCTGCTTTGACATATAGCTATGACAGGTAGCTAGCATGACAAATAGATAGCTTTGACATATAGCTAGCTTGACAGACAGAAATTAATGGGGGGGGGGGCGGGGGGGGGGGGGTAGCTTTGACATATAGCTCGCTTGACAGATAGATACTTTCTTTTTGCCGACCAATGGCACCAAATAGTGTTTTTTAGGGGGCTTTGACATATAGCTAGCTTGACAGATAGATAGCTTTCCAATAGGCTTGCTTGACAGATAGATAGCTTTGACATATAGCTAGCTTGACAGATAGATAGCTTTCCAATAGGCTTGCATGACAGATAGATAGCTTTGACATATAGCCAGCTTAACACGTTGATAGCTTTCTCAAGTATAGATTTCGTGGCAGGCGCAGCACTTTCGCAAGCACTCTCTGCGAGCTGGGGGATGGCAAGATGCAGAAAACGTTGGCGCTGTGCGGGAATTGGGCTTCCGGACTGTGCGCAAACCACCTCGGCTGCGACGCCTGTACGGAGGCGGTCTCGGAACGGTCTCGGAACGGGTTCGGCACGGGTTCGGAACGGGTTCGGAGACGGGCCCATTGGCACGGCCGCGCGAAGGTTTCGCAAGGTTTGAATTGCGTGGCAGGCGCAGCACTTTCGCAAGGTCAAGTATAGATTTCTTGGCAGGCGCAGCACTTTCGCAAGGTCAAGTATAGATTTCGTGGCAGGCGCAGCACTTTCGCAAGCACTCTCTGCGAGCTGGGGGATGGCAAGATGCAGAAAACGTTGGCGTTGTGCGTGAATTGGGCTTCCGGACAGTGCGCAAACCACCTCGGCTGCGACGCCTGTACGGAGGCGGGTGCGGAACGGGTTCGGAACGGTCTCGGAGACGGGCCCATTGGCCCGGCCGCGCGAAGGTTTCGCAAGGTTTGAATTGCGTGGCAGGCGCAGCACTTTCGCAGCACTTTCGCAAGGTCAAGTATAGATTTCGTGGCAGGCGCAGCACTTTCGCAAGGTCAAGTATCGATTTCGTGGCAGGCGCAGCACTTTCGCAAGGTGCTGCGTCCACTCTCTGCGAGCGGGGGGATGGCAAGATGCAGAAAACGTTGGCGCTGTGCGTGAATTGGGCTTCCGGACTGTGCGCAAACCACCTCGGCTGCGACGCCTGTACGGAGGCGGTCTCGGAACGGTCTCGGAACGGTCTCGGAACGGTCTCGGAACGGTCTCGGAACGGGTTCGGAGACGGGCCCATTGGCACGGCCGCGCGAAGGTTTCGCAAGGTTTGAATTGCGTGGCAGGCGCAGCACTTTCGCAAGGTCAAGTATAGATTTCGTGGCAGGCGCAGCACTTTCGCAAGGTCAAGTATCGATTTCGTGGCAGGCGCAGCACTTTCGCAAGGTGCTGCGTCCACTCTCTGCGAGCTGGGGGATGGCAAGATGCAGAAAACGTTGGCGCTGTGCGTGAATTGGGCTTCCGGACTGTGCGCAAACCACCTCGGCTGCGACGCCTGTACGGAGGCGGTCTCGGAACGGTCTCGGAACGGTCTCGGAACGGTCTCGGAGACGGGCCCATTGGCACGGCCGCGCGAAGGTTTCGCAAGGTTTGAATTGCGTGGCAGGCGCAGCACTTTCGCAAGGTCAAGTATAGATTTCGTGGCAGGCGCAGCACTTTCGCAAGGTCAAGTATAGATTTCGTGGCAGGCGCAGCACTTTCGCAAGGTCAAGTATCGATTTCGTGGCAGGCGCAGCACTTTCGCAAGGTCAAGTACAAAATTCGTGGCAGGCGCATCACTTTCGCAAGGTCAAGTACAGAATTTGTGGCAGGTGCAGCACTTTCGCAAGGTCAAGTGCAAAATTCGTGGCACGCGCAGCACTTTCGCAAGGTCAAGTACAGATTTTGTGGCAGGCGCAGCACTTTAGCAAGGTCAAGCACAGATTTGGTGGCAGGCGCAGCATTTTTGCAAGGTCAACTTTCGCAGCCGGGGCTCGAAAATCGCAACTTTTAAGTACGAAAGTAGTACGCGAAGTCAACTTTCGCAGCTGGGGCTTGAAAATCGCAACTTTTAAGTACGAAAGTAGTGCGCAAAGTCCACTTTCGCAGCCGGGGCTTGAAAATCGCAACTTTTAAGTACGAAAGTAGTACGCAAAGTCCACTTTCGCAGCTGGGGCTCGAAAATCGCGACTTTTTAGTACGAAAGTAGTACGCGAAGTCCACTTTCGTAGCTGGGGCTCGAAAATCGCAACTTTTAACTACGAAAGTAGTACGTGAAGTCCAGTTTCGCAGCTGGGGCTCGAAAATCGCAACTTTTAAGTACGAAAGTAGTACGCGAAGTCAACTTTCGGGGATTGAACATCGCAACTTTTAAGTGCAGAGAAAGATGGGTAGATAGATAGATCAATAAACAGATATAGAGATAGCTAGAGAGATAGATAGAAAGAGAGAGAAAGAGACAGAGAAACAGAAAGAGAAAGAGAAAGAGAGAAAGAGAGAAAGAGAGAAAGAGAGAAAAAGAGAGAGAGAGAGAGAGAGAGAGAAGCAAGGGGCCAAGGACAGTTCTCCAAACTATAGTTGTTCACTGCTTTGAAACTTCCGCCCCCCGGCTCTGCCGGACCTTACTTGTAGTAGCAACTGACAGGCTGCCAAGACAAAAAAAGTCAAAAAAAAACAGGTGTTTGCAGGTGTTTTCCCGGTGCCTTTTAATTTGGGAGGGAGGGTCTCCCCCGGTGTTTCCTCCGTTTTCAAGTTTTCAACGCCACCAGTTCTCCATGGATCCGGGTCGAGCGAGCGCGATGGAGCGAGCCCTCAGGTTCAAAGCGGCTTCCTTTGGGACACCATGGCAAAACGGACGGAGGACCTCTACATCGAGCTGCTGGGCTTGCAGGACGGACCGGGACAGAGCTTCCATTTGGTTGAGACCATGTTTTTCTTTTTTATTATTTTCCCCTGTTTGTTTTAAAGGGAATCTATCACTGCTGGAAATATGTTTTGTTTTTTTCCAGGGGACTTAAGCAAATGGAGGCAAAGCAACCGGGGGAAGGGCTTTTCAGGCAGGGACAGTCCCACGCAATGGGCTCGTTTGTTTTAGGGAATCCAAACCTTTTGGCCAAATGGGTGCGGATGTTCCCTCAAAAATTGTGTCCATTGGTTGGGGTAGACGACTTGGAATACCAGGTTTTGAAGACTTGGTGAAGTCTTGTGCGTAAGTCTTGCATGGATCGCCCAAGTGCCTACTCGAAATACTTTTGAAGTTTAGGGGACCCAAGCTGGAACTCCTTCAATGGTGTTGGGTTGACTTCTTCAAGCCCTGATCCGAGTTCCCATAGCAGGTAACGGCCACCCAGCCATTTTCCTTGCTTGGACCGGGTGTTTCCCTTGGTCTTGGCTCCCTCCGGTTCTCTTTCCGCGGCCTTCTTCGCGCGGAGCCACTGGGTCAAAGTGGGGACTTGGAGCCAACCAAATCGCGGCTTCTCTTTTCCATCCTCAATGGGAACCCCGGAGTAAGGTTGATCTTGAATTGGGGGGTGTCCGGTGTCCTCTTTTAGTGGGGGTTCAGACGTTCAGCAGCGCCTTCCCCCTGGTAGAACAAGCTCGACTCAATCCCGGGGTCAAGATTTCTTCAGCTGGTACCTGAAAAGGATACCCTCCCAAAAAACCGGCACTGCCACAAACGCGCGACAACTTGCCAGTGGCTATGTGTCAGAATTTAGGGAGTTGGACATTCGACATGGGTATTTTTCCGTTTCGCTTCAAGCAAATCTGAAGCCCGTCGACAGAATCCATGGTAATGGGCTACAACTAGGGGCTAACCACTTGGCCAAGTCCCAGGCCATCTAAGTATCCTTACTGGAAAACCATGGGGGAAGGGGGGAGGTTCGGGGGGTTCACGGGGGTACACAGTGGCAAACATAGGCGTCCTTCTTGGTTGTTTCGGCAAAGAATGACATGGCCCTGGTTTACAAGGTTTACTCATCCACCAGGGCCGCTTATTCCCCCAAAAGGACACACAAAACAGACACCACAGCAAAGGCCCCAGTTCTTGGCACATTTTGTTCGGGTTTTGCTCCGGGGGGCTCCGAGTGGAGCGTTCCCATCGGAGCCGCCAGGAGGCCCCGCACACCCCGCTGCCGCGCCGGCCCCGGCCGCTGGCGCAGGCTCTGGGCGAGGACGCGCTGCCGGTGCTCCGGCTCTGCCGTGCGGGGCCCAGGTCCCCGAAGAACCGCCCGCCAGTGGTGCCCCTTTTTTTTTTTTGTTGGAGGCGGGTTTCCTGAAACATCGACCAATTCTGAAAAAGATCGACTTTTTTTCCTCATGGCCAACTATGGGTCTGGGTTAAAGGATGCAGCTGGCCTCCATTTCGTTTCCAGTGAGACTCGTCCAAAAACCAGTCGCTTGCGATCCTTTACAACACTCATGGAAGCTGACAGAAGTGGAAAAGCGGCCTCTTCAAAAGGCCCCCAGCCCATTTCCAAGTGTCCCAGTTGTCCAGTGGCACCCTAATTTTCCTTTTTTTGGAGCGTTTTTTTTCTCCTTGAAAATCCAAGAAGGCCCCCTTTTCTTCCCCCAAAATCATGCTGAGTCCTTTTTGGGAGGGGGTTCCCCTTGAAAATCAACTTGATTCCCAAAAATCTGCTAAGCCTGAGGCCTTTTGTCCTTAGCCTTCGGGGGCGATGGTACGCTCAGCTGCCTGGGGAGCGACTTTGGGTGGAACGGCTCCTTGACTGGCAAACCATGATAACCCCTTGGGAAAGTTTAGGAGACCATGAGAAAGCATAGGAAACCCATGGGAAAGTCATGGGAAAGTCATGCGAAGCCCATGAGAAATCCATGCGAAACCCATGGAAACCCCAGCCATGAGAAACTTATGGGAAACCCATGAAGAGGGGACGTGAGCGAACAGAAAGCCGAGGCAAGGTGGACTACCCTAGGAAGGGCAACGAGTACAGCGACAAGCTTGCAAGGATTCCCACGGAACTGGCACGGGCCTTTTGGCTGAGAGGGGCGAGCATGCCATGGCTGATCTTTGGTGTCCTTTTGTAGGGAATCCCTTGTCAGGGGAGGTACCTTCCACGACAAGACTTCAAAAACAGCGACAAAAACAAAAATAACAGCGATAAATAATTGAGCTTCATACCACGACAAATAAAGAAGGTTCATACCACGATAAATAATTTTGGTCCATGCAGCTGCTCCAAAGAACGCGTGTTTTGCACTTTTTGGGGGCCAAAAAGCTCAAACCACACCTGAACTTTCTGGGGCCCTGTTTCAAAGACCGTGTGTTTTGAGCTTCTTGGCGCCCAACAACTGCAAAACACACGTTCTTTGGAACAGCCGTCCATTTCTGCGGCCCTGCTTCAAAGAACGTGTGTTTTGAGCTTTTTGGTTCCCAAAACTGCAAAACACACATTCTTTGGAAGAGCCGTCCATTAGCTCCTTACAAGCTCCTTACAAAGCTCTTCACAAAGGTTTTTAGAGAGCTCTTGAGCTTTCTCGGCTCCTTATAAAGCTCCAAATACAGCTTTGTGAAGGAGCTCTTTTCAGGAACTGTATTTGGAGCTTTATAAGGAGCCGAGAAAGCTCAGGAGCTCTCTAAAAACCTTTGTGAAGAGCTTTATAAGGAGCTTTATAAGGAGCTTGTAAGGAGCTAACGGACAGCTCTTCCAAAGAACGTGTGTTTTGCAGTTTTTGGGGGCCAAAAAGCTCAAAACACACGTTCTTTGAATCAACCGTCCATTGTTGGAAGAAGGGAAGAAGGAAGAAGGAAGGAAGCAGGAGAAGGAGGGAGGCCTGTTTCAAGGAAGGAAGGATCCGCTTTTTGAGCTTATCGTGATTATTATTATTATTATTATTTCGTAGCAAGAAAAATAATTCCGAGTCGTGGTAGGAACAATTTCTATCGTGGTTGGAAAGCTGTTGTGAAGCGTGGTTGGTGCACCCCCTCATTCCCTTGTGGGTTGGTCTTAAGGGGAAACCAAAAGGAGCCCCCACCTTTTTTGGGGTACCCTCAAAAAACGACAGACCTTGCCCTATTGAACCTACAAAAGGTTTGGGCAAACCCGGATGTCGCAAAACAGGGCGGCAGTTGCAGGCAATGAGATCTGTGGATGGAGCTTAGTGGACAGTTTTAAGGATGAATGGACCTTCCCCCAATTCTGCATACCTTCAGATTCTTTGCATAGTGTCGAAGTGGATATTCGCCCTGCCGATTCTTCAGTCTTGGTAGACTGTGATTACTCATGCCCATTCGCCTGGCACCGTGGGGTTCCTTCCCTGAGGTGAAGGTCAGACAAATATGTTTGCCTCAAACTCGGCGAACCCTCCCCCCCCAACGTTTGCAATTTCCCTCTTGTTTCCCTTCAAAACCCCAAAAGGGTAAAGTGGACACAACAAAAACCGCACATGTGTTGGAAGGGAGCCACGTTTTTTTTGTTTGTTGTTTTTGCCATGAGAAAACCGAAGAACTGAGGACAAATCGTCGAAGAACAAGTTCTTGGCCATGTTCCAAATGGCTTTGCTCCGCACGGAGCGCTGCCTGCAGTGGCTCGCCGACCCGGTGCCCAATGTGGTCCTACAGGACTCCGACGGCGGCGATACGCCCGCGATGCTGTGGATGGCCGCGAAATCTATTTCGCGCCACCTAAGGAACCCTGGTTTCTGATGATTGCCCCGTAAAAACCAATGGTTTCAACCATGGTTTCAAAGCGGTGCAGGATTTTGTTTATCCACAGTATGACCCAAGGTAGGGGGTCGAAACTGCTTTGTTGCGTAATGCCCTTGAGCAGCCATCCCTTCAGATGGCAGTGAATTTCAAGAGTTCGAGCCCCTCAACAGGCGGGCAGAAGCCCACAACTAAATAGTGTCCACCATTTCGGGGCCCTCAAAGTTCATCGCCCGCGTCAACTTTAGGACTCAAAAGTTGCATTTGGACCAGGACCCGCACCTTCCTGTTTTGGACAGGGCTCCCTGTGTTTCCGTGAGGGTGGTTTTGTACATTACCACCACCTGAACAAAGAATCGGACGCCCAGGTAGAAAGGGACCTATTGTGGGGGTTCACTCGTTTCTCCCTCTGCTTTTGGTGTGATCCTCCAACCAACCATCGGTTTGCTCCGTCTTGGTCGGATTCCCGCCGCCGGAGGAGGAGAGGAAGCAGGCGCTGGTCCTCACGCGGGGCTGCGCCATCTTCGCCTTCAACTTCAGCGCGAAGAACCTGCCCAGCCTCAGCTTTAGCATCCCGCAGCTGAAAGGCGCCGTTGGTTTTTCATTGTCTTTTCTTTAGGAGTGGGCAACTGGGTTAGTTGGGGTTTGGGTCATTTTTTCTTTGGGGGTGGGTGACCGGGGCAGCGTCCATGATCTTTGGGACTCGGCAGAGGCATTGTTCTTTTCTGAAGGACGTTTCGTGGCTCACAGCAAACGTCCGGGTACTGTCAACGTATCGAAAGTCCTCGTTCGACGAGAGCCCAGTTGATTCCGGTATCAGCAGTTTTGTTCAAGGCAGCGCAACGGCTGTCAGGCAGTGTCTTGCATGTCGGAGGGTCAGAATCATGGAATTCAAGCATGCACCAGTGACGCAGCTCGGGCGTGCACGAGCTTCACAGCCGTGCCAAACCGTGTTGGTAGAACGGCAAGTCAATGTTTTAGGCTCTGCTCATTTGGGTGTGTTTTAACCCAAAGATCACGGGCCCCTATTGGGGGAAACAGATCGACCAACCGACCAGACCGCTGTACCCAGAAGGCAGCAACAGCCGGAAGGTGGTAGGTAGGTAGGTAGGTAGGTAGGTAGGTAGGTAGGTAGGTAGGTAGGTAGGTAGGTAGGTAGGTAGGTAGGTAGTTAGGTAGGTTGGTTGCTTGCTTGCTTGCTTGCTTGCTTGCTTGCTTGCTTGGTTGGTTGGTTGGTTGCTTGGTTGAGATTCCCTCCTTTTGGAGAGGTGCAAGAGGGGTCGTCATTGTGTGTTGCCAGGCGTGAGCTGCGAGTTCAAGACCGTGGGGCGCTGAGATCTCTTCCGATTCGCGGCTAGGGGTCGGTTGGTTTCCGCGCGCGGGGTTGGCGGGGTTGGCGGGGGGGGGGCCGAACCAAGCGGTTCCTTATTGTCCGTTGAAACTCAACCTGGGTGACCGCCTCGCAACTGGGGGCAATTGTGTAAGGAAGGAATGCTCGACCCCATTGTGGTTGAAGTGGGGAACCAAAAGGAAACACTGTATTTTCAGGGGTCTCGAAGAGAACAATTATTTGCTTTCCGTTGAACATCAATCCAAATGGGTCCCAGTTGTTTAGAAGCACCCTCTTGTACCCGTCCCGCCCCGGCCAAAGCCAGTTCCGGCTAGCATTCAGGAGTCATGTTTTATGATTTATGTTTCTATGACAATATATATATATATATATGTACTCTGTATTTGTGATACATGTATATATATATATACATGCATATTGCAAGTACACCATAAGTATTCAGTGATTCAGAAGTCATTCCGATGTTTTTTTTGTACATGTGTGTCATTTGCTGCAATTTGAGTGCACGGCACGGAATTCCTCAACAGGATGAGACATTGGACATTGAATAGACAGGCATGATTTCCCCTTGCCATATAGAGTGATGGATTTCAACATCAATGACCACCGGGTTTTGCCCGACGGATCGGCATCTGCTTTCTTGAGGTGCTGAACACGCAGGACCACCGCTTTGGCGGCTCTGCCACCACGGCGCAGTGTGTGGTGGCGGTGAACGATGGCGAGATGCAGCTCTTCCTCGTGGTGTCGCGGATGATCCGTAGGTGAAGGGGAAGAGGAGAACGGGGGAGGATTTTTTTTGATGTTCAATCGCAGGCGGTATTTTCCTTTGTGGGTGGGTGGGTGGGTTGGGGGGTGGAATTCAATACTGACTCAGAGCCACAAGAGTAGCCGTGGGACGGTCATGAACGGTTCTTAGTGACCCCAGACCAACTAAGCAGTTCCACCATCTTTTAGGGGGAAGGGAGAAGGGCCATTTCGACACACGAGAGAGGTTTGGTGAATTTCATGGGTGTCCAAGTTGGTGGACACAACTCGCCCATGCTCACCAAAGGGTTCGCTACCAATGTAAAACTCATACTGGGGCCAGTATGGCCTAACTAATTGGCATGGGGTGGCCTACTCTTGAGCGAACATGACCTCATGACAAAGGACAGTTGTGTGTGTGTGTAATTGCTTGGTCCCCATTTCAGGGTGTCCTCAAAATTTAGCGGTCCCCATTTTATGGACGGTTTCCTTTCGGTTCCCCTTTTAAATGCCCATCAGCAGGTCCGAACTCCATTTCAGGAGCCCTCATTTGGGCCGCTCGAAGGGCTCGCGCATGTCTTTGGGCGGGTCCCAAGCCCGGAAACCCGAGGCTCAGAGCGCCATGGTGTTGGCTCCCACCGCCCACGCCGATGCCTTGCTGACGGTGCCTTGGACCGATGCGCAGGGTTGCGGGATCACTCGGGGTTTATCCAACCGCTTCTGTGATACAAGGAACATATTCCCCTTTATGCGCAAGGGGAAGGGGGGGTGGTAGTCTTTGGGAAGCCCAGAAGTGGTCATTTCCCACAGCGCTGATTCTGCGTGCTGTCAGGGGAGATTCAAGCTTAAGTGATTTGTCCTGCCGACAGACCAATCAACCACCCAGTTCGTCCGTTTTTGGGATTCCTTTCTAGGAACTCCCTGGTGAACAACTGGGCGTATTCAGGGGTCGAAAACCCCATCACGGATCATCTTTGCCACGCTGAGCCATGGCAGCCATGTTTCGAAGCTAGGCTGCCTGCCCGAATCAGTAGAATCAGTATTGGACAACAAACCAGAGCACACACACAGGCAGAACCTTTACAAGGCCATGAGTTTTCTACTTGGGGATCCTGTGGCGCACATCACTGTCCGCTAATCATTTGAGGGCGTCCCTATTGAAACTCATAGCTATACTTGCTTGTCCAGCTGGCAAACTGTTTACTTGTTGTTGTTGGCTGTTTTCTGCTATCATGTTGAATTGAAGGCCCAAAAATATGAACACCGCTTGGCCAGTCAACTCAGAAGCTCAGCATAGAGTTGAGAACCTGTCGTCTTCGCGCCCAAGTCTCTTTTTTGACCCACCTCGTTTTTGGGCCCCGAAGAAGGGGGAGGGGGGTCCCAGGTTTGAGATGGACCCATTTCTGGATCCCCGAGGCCTCGGATCCAGTTTGACCAGACCTGTTGTCTTACACCCTGGATACACCGTCTTTTGCAGGAACCTACGGAAGACAAGGCTCTGGTGTGTTACTCCTTTGCCCACCCTCCTTTCCTCTTTTGGGGTCAGGGTTTCTCTGTAAACGCCAAGCAGCCATAAGAAGGGTGCCCTTCGAGCCAACCTTTCCCCCCTGGCAGGGTGCCCCTTCAGTCGACTCTTTTCCCCCTGGCTCCGGAACTCTGGGCTGAGCAGCGCTCGCGATGCGCTCGCGATGCGCTCGCGCTCGCGGCCGTGGCTAAGGACAAGACGCTGCAGCTGCGCTCCGCGGACAGCTTCATCGACTTGTTGGCGACTCGCCTGGGGAATCAAACTGAGGTTCTCAGGGAGCCCGTTGGCATGGTTTTCAAGGAAGGCCACCTCATAGATCTGTGACAAGCACCCGAAGCTCTCTTGTGAGTGTCTTAGGGTACCCGGGTACCCTTTCGAAGTGAAACCAACACGAGCATGTGGGGTGTGGCCCGAGGCTCGGTACCCTTGCCAGGCGGGTTTAAGGGGAAAACACTTGCCTGGGATGGATGAAACCTTAAGAGTGGGATAAGCCACCCGAAAACCAGTGCAAAGCGGCCTATTTCAGTACCTACTTAAATGGCTTGTTTGCTGTCGTGTGTAGAAGGGTGACACCCATGATGCCACTTATAATCATGGGTACAGCCTTCTTAGTGGGTGGAAACACTGAAGGCCCAAAGGAACCCTGTTGAACTGCCTAGTTGCATGGCTTTACAGACAAGTGTAAGAGATCAATGTCCATCGCAAGTAGTTGGGTACTCTAAACAGTTTCTAACAAACGGGGTCCTTTGGGATGCGAACAACACATAATCGTCACACGCATGCGATCAGAACCCGTTTAGAAGAACGCGTTGAAAGGGGCCCGCAAAGTCACCAGACCGACCCCCAAAAACCACAACCAGCAGGCACAAAGCCAACAGCATGACAAACGCAACCAGCAAAACAACAAAAGAAGCCAACAAAAGCAACACCGACAAAACATCAAAAACACGAATAAACTAAAACCAAGAACTCCCCCGGCCCCCGCCCCCCCCCCCCCCCCCCAAAAAAAAAAAAAAAGAAGGAGAAAAAGAAAAAGAGAAAAGAACAGAGAAAACAACAAAGATAAATAAAGAAGGCACATCATGAACAACAACAAAAAAACAGATGTAAACATATATCTATATACGTATGACACGTATTTTTCCGAAGCACCCAAAAACATGCACCAAGGACTCGGCCGCGTCGCCGGTGACACAGGCGCCTGCGCTCTCCTTTGCTCCTTGCTTCAAAAGGTCCGCTTTTCTGCCTGGTGCGACAGGTAGGGAATGACCTTCGCCGGGTTTTGGGAATGAACCGTTCATTATCCAAAAAGCAACCGACTTGGTTTTGTTTAAGGGAATCCCGAAGTTTTTCCGGATTCAGGAGTAAAAGGAAACCAACTCGGATGGATGGCTTAAGTCGGGGTCATTGCATTTCTCATTCCCCTTCAAACCGATCGTGAGCTTTTGCGGCCAGGGCGCGAGAGATTATGAGTCTGCAAGTTCTTTTAGTTTTTTTGAGGGTACCCTTTTTGTGGTTGGCTTAAAGGAAAGAGAGGGGGAGTTCGCCAGCGGTGCGTTGTTTAGTATGAATAGGTGTTGTTTCACAACATCCGATTCTGGGAGAGTTCAAAAACCCAACGCTTACAACATCCCTTTCTGAAAGGAATCTAGGGACAAGGGGTGCGTTCCCTATGTTCAGCCACATGTTGAAATCCACCCAGGGGGAAGATTTGTTAAAACCCCTCAGAAGGGGGAAATATACAGGGAGACCGACGGGGTCCGAAGTGGGTTTCCTTTGGGTTTCCTGCCAAACGAAGCTGGAAACGCATCAATGGGTGTGTTGGATTGGACGCTCGGCAACGAAGGAAACGCAACCCTTTTGGAGGGTTCCCTATGAGACAAACGCAAATGGTTTCAGACAGAGAGTGAAATGTGCTGTGTAAATCGATGTTTTTTTTGCAAGTTGGCTCGCGGTTGCTTGCTTTGTATGTGCCGGTGTCAAACCACCTTACTGGAGGTTGTGTGCTTGTGTGCCTCCTACATGGGTGTGGCTCAAAATTGAAGAGGTAGGGTTACGCGGTGTTAGTCTTTGTTTCCATTGACCAGAGTTCCATTTTGGGTACCGATTCTTGACCCACAGCCACATGGGTGCGTCCTTCCACCTGGTCATCCAGTTGTTCATAGACTTTTGCCCAGGAAGACTTGGCCGCTGCCGCCAGGGAGGCCGCTGCGAAGAAGCAGCAAGCAGCGGCTGCTGCCAAAGAGGCTGCTGCAGCCGAGCAGCTGACATTCAAGCGCGCCAAGGCACACTTCCATTTGCTTAAGAACATTTGTTTTATTTTTAACACTTGGTTTTGAAGGGAATCCATCACTACTGGAAATATGTTTATGCTTTCCAGGGGACTTAAGCAAATGGAGGCACATGATACCACCGTAGCTCAGTACGAGGGAGTTTTCCAAGCCCTCAAAGGGAAGATGAGTAGACTTAAGCCGGCTCTAATGCTGCTGGGACACGACCCTGCTTTCAACCATAGAAATGGCCTACAATTTGGCTACTTGGGCGTGTCTTCTTTTTGAGGGTACCCTTTTCTTCTTTTTTTGGGGGGGGAACGGGGGGGGGAAGCCACCCAGCTACTGAACCTTCATCAGGGCGATGAACGCGCCCTGTTGAGGACATTCCATGTGAACACTCATCTAGGGTGTGTCAAATTGGGGGACCTTCAAAATAAACATCGGCTTTCCTTTGGTCTTTCTTGCATATAAACCAACCCTGAAGGGGCCTCTGCAAGAAACCTGTCTTCGACCTTCGTCCAGGGGGGCTTCAGGTTCCCTCGACCGACTGGCAGCGAGCCAGGAAGCGCAGGCGGCGGCCGGAGCCAATGAGCTGCCCTGCCTTCCCAAGGTGCGAGCTCGGAAGAGTGGGATTCCCAGTTTGTATTCAACCAGGTGAGGAATTGAATCCTCTGGTGACTCTGGTGCATGTTGCTTGGATGTTGGGACTTTGACTTTTTGCCAGCGAATGGGTTTTCCAATCAAACCACTAAAATAAAAGTTAATAAAAGTTAAACTTTTAGCAGGGGAGCAGAGTTCGCAACCGATAATCCATCCCTGACAGGGGGGGTTTCTTCACAGATACCTCCTTGAGACCCAGATACTTTGTTCCTCCCCTTTCGCGTTTGGTGGCTTCACTAAGAAACCTCAACTTGAAAAGGGCCCCTTCGATTTTTTTTCTTCTGCGACTGAACTGGAGGTTCATCTCAAAGGAGCGCCCCCCAAACGGGCTTCGGTGTCCTTTTGGTTTCCCTTTGACACACCCTTTGTACGGGGGCACCCTGAAAAAGGCACACTTAGGTTGAAGATGATGTCAAACAGGGCTCGAACCAATTCTCCAGGTCTCCATTTTGTTCTGCCAAGGCCAGGTAAGGCCGTCCGACCTGGGCACTTTTGAGTGTGGTGTTGAGGCTTTGTAGCTTTGCTGGAGGGGAAACCAAAAAGACATCCACCATTCCGTGGGGTGCTGTACATTTCTCCATTTGGTGTATATTTCTCCTTTTGGGCGGGTGTTCACATCACGTTCTGGGCCAACTCATAAGGGATTTTCCTCCCAAAGCCCCCCCCCCCCCCGCCCCCCCACTTTGGGTGCCTTAAAAAACGAGGCTCCAATTTGCATTCAGGCCCCCTGGCTTTTCCATGTCCCTTACAGTAACCACATATTTTGACCAGGCTCAATATGGAGACCCATCCCCAAGCTTGCTTTCGTATCGGCTCCATGCTCAACCAACTTCCTTTTGGGCCCAACTGAATAAACAACAAATTAATATCCACGTGGTTACTCAGTGATTCAGCTTCAACGAACAGCAACAGCTGCCAAGCGTGGACAACCTTCCACCATGTGCTGGGTTTCCTGCAGTTTGACTATATATCTCTTGGATCGTCTGTAGTAGCATCGGCAACCTTCGTGTTTCTCTAGAGGTATTTTCTCCATTCTTTTCCGGACCCCCCCCCCCAAACCTGGAGGAAACAACCGGTTGAACGGTCATGGGAATCAACGAGGAGAGCCATTACGTCTCATCGCCAGGCAGACGCCAGAAGGGAAGGGTATGGAGCAGCGCCCGCGCCCAACGCGTCCGAGGCGTCTGAGGCGAATGCTCCCAGAGTTTTGGACTCGGGGTTTCCCTGGGCAGAGCATTCCGGTTGGCAGAATTTCGGTTCTCGAACTTGTGGGGTGACTTTGAGCGAGTCGAATGGTAGTTGGATGCATCCAGTTTTCAGGGATCCCTGCATTGTCCTCCATGGACACCACCAGTAAATCGCGTTGACCTTGTAACTTTTGAATGGAAACCACCAGTTCATTGCCGGTTTCAATTGGAAATTCTAACTTTTGAAGGGGAAATCCAGCGATGGGAGACTCCAGGAATGGAATTGGGGCCCCGCCGCCCCGGTCCGGCCAGGTGAAGCGTGAAGGCGGCGGATGGCTGCAAAAGTTCTGGTGACTTGAAAACTCGAGTCGAGACTCGACCCGAACGCCGAACGAGGGACGCCCGGCTTGTTAAGTGACTGGAGTCCACTTGTTGATTATGTGTTGTTTTTTGCATGTTTCTTTCTTTCTTTTTTAAATGGGGAGGGGGGGAGGAGGTTTCGAAGGGGGTCCTAAACACTTTGTTCCATGGCTGCCGGGCTCAGGAAGACACAGCTGCCCGGCGATCCACGACAATGCCCTGCCCGGCGTTTGAATTCGCGGGACGCAGCTTTTGACTCTGCGTCCGCGTCGCAAGCGCCCAAAAAGTCTGACTCACTCTGCGCTGGACGTGGATCAGCGGGCGCTGAGCCCAGTCTCTGTGGGCCGACATGGTTTGCGCAGAAGCACACACGCCCCTCCATTGTCCTTTTTGGATTGGTTGAATCATCACCAATTGGGCCAGGGGAAGTTGAGGAAATATGGAGAAATCTTGAAGAAACCAGGGAAGGACCTCGGTACTCGACCTGAAGCCACAGACGTCGCGCAGGACGGCGGGTGTGGCGCGACATCGGAAGGTGAGGCAAGACGTTTCCTCGAGGCGGGCGGGGTGCCAGAGACCCAAGGAACACCACCCGGTTCCAAATGCTCAACTTTGTGGACTCTCTTTTGGTAGCAGACCACAATTTTTGAGACCCCACTGTTTGGACAAAAAACCCTAGATTGCCAACGAGGTGAAAGAGCTGTTGTTTTTTTCCCAGTCACGTGTAAAAGCTTGATTGACATTGTGAGATGAGTCGATGCTCGTACCCCTAAAGCAGAATCCTTTGCAATGGTTTTGGTTTTGGGGACCACCGTATTAATCAGCAGGGACTCAGCAATCGATAAACGTGCTTATGCACGTTGGTGATGATTCCTGACATGTCGGACTGCCTTGCTCGCAAGCCAGGTCAAGCAAAGTACTGACCCGCAATAGAACAGGTCACTGTCTCGGAGTAGCCAGTCAGTTTGTTGTTTTTTGTCTTTGTGTGTGTGTGTGTCTGATGTGCAAATCCACCAGCCTTTCAAACTTTAGGGAGTGGGCACAAGCCAAATTCCATTGCCATCAGCAGCTGAAGAGATTAGTTTGACATGAATCGGCATGCCAAAGTGCAGGTGCCGAGCGACATAACTTGCATCCTTATCAGGCGTCCAGCAGTGGCGAGCTGCACACAAGCAAGCATATCACCACAAGCAGAGTAAATACCTGTACCCTCAAACAAAGGACAACCCCCCTCAATCTGCAAGAGTCGTTGGACCAAAGAGCCAGCGTTTTTACCGCCATATGATCCGCTCATCTGCGTGCGTTTAGGGTGCAAAACAAATCCCGCGACTTATTCTTATTTTTTTCTTATTATGATTTTACTTTGTTTGGCGGGGGGGGGTGCCCCTGGTTTGGGCAAAAAACTGGCCCTCGCGCCCAAACCGAAGAAGTGCTTTAACGTCGCGCCCATGGCCGGCCGTGCGCTCAGCGGGCGCTGGAGATGGCGCCTGATGCAGCCCTGCCTGCGGGCTGGGCGGGTGGGGTGGGTGGGTGGATGGGTGGGAGGGTTAGGTGGGTGGGTGGGAGGGTTAGGTGGGTGGGTGGGTGGGTGGGTGGGTCAGGGGGCGGTGGTGGGGTGGTTCGGGATCCGAAGCTGTCCTTTTCAAGGCAGCTCAGCCATCGCGTTTGTGGCTGAGTTTCTTCTTGATGACACGTGCGAAAAGGGCCCTTGCCGACGGGTGGGGCTTCTTCAAGAAAACCCAATTAGTCAGAATATTTGGAGTTGTAGTGCGATCTTCAAGTACAGTTAGGGATCCAAAAGTATCATTTTATTGGGAACACCGGTGGACATGGCGCCCCATGTGAATGATGTCCGCCAGATTTTGATTCACTCAGATGTGTTTGAGTGCGGATTCAACTGATCCGGAGGTAAAACGAGCAAAAGTGATGTTATAGGTCCTTACTTGGGGATCAGGGTTTGGTATTATTCTAAAACATGCCGATTCATGATGATCACTTGCTTGGGATTCCTTTCAGATTGTATCGCCAATGATCCCCACCTGAAAGTCTACCCCGCACCCAAACCACCCCAAACCACCAATGACAGCGGAACTCCCAAGATGGTTTTCACGAACGAAAGCGCACCTCCAGACCCCCAACCAATACAACCGGCCAGGTGCAGGCGCGGGCCGCGGCGCCGGCGCCCGCGGCGCCGGCGCCGCCCGGGGGACCCGGGCCCTCGCAGACATCGCAGGTGCCGCAGATCCTGGCTGTGGGGCCGCGGTCCGAGGCGACAGCAGCCGGTCGCTTTTTTTCCGTTGACCTGGGGTGACTTTGGAGTGATGAGGCCGATTTTGGGACGGCTTTCCAAGATAAACCAGCAAAAGCAACACAGAACCATCCATGCTTAGAGGAGTCTGGAGTGGGCTCCAGAGGCCTGAAAGCCCGTTTTGGAGGATAGGCTTTTTCAGATATTCTCGGCTTTCAGCTGTTGGGGAAATCTCTATATTATATATATATATATATGTATATAACATATATATATATATTATATGTAAAACCATGTTTTCCGACTGCAGCTCGGACGAAAAAGACCGCTAGGAGGAGATGAAGCAGGTCATAGAGCACTACGTGCCTTGCTTGCTCGTTGGGTACGGAGTCAGTGAGTCAGTGAGGGAGCCAAGAGGCAGTCACTGAGTCAAGTAGTCGGTCACTTAAGCTAGTCTGTTAGTTGATATGCTGGCTTAGTGGCTTGCTTCTTTGCTGGTTGTTTTATCATTTGTTTTACAACGTGGCTTTGTTTTATTGGCGTGCGGTGTCGGCTCTGCATGCACTGTGCGGTGCTTGGGGAAGAAGGCAACAAGGCGTCAATGGATGGAGGTTAATAGGACAGACCATACAGGAGCATTGCACCTGCAGACATTCGCGTTCCCTGTTGTCGTATTTTTTCCAGTGTAAAGCCAGTGTTCGGATGGGTTTCAACCTCTGCAGTTGTGCGATCCTGAAAGGGCGAGCCCGATACAAGCAAGTCGGGACCCCTTCTCCAACCGCGAACCTATTCCGTTGACCTCCACTTTAGCTTTCTTCTGTGGGCCCAAAACACAGGTGGGGTTGAAACAGAGCAGGGTTCCCCAAGTAGGTTGATGAACCGAGGAAAGGAGCAACGCCAACCAGCGCCAGTCACCAGCCTGGCGGATCTTCAACTCCTCTATGGGCGCTGTGCTGGCTGGCCTCTTGGGGGGCGGCATCATGTACCTGACGCTTGTTTGCAACAAAGGCTCGTGTGTGTGTGTGTGTGTGTGTGAGTGTTTGTGTTTGTTTGTTTGTGCTTGTTTTGCGTTGCTTGCTTGCTTGCTTGCTTGCTGGCTGGCTGGCTGGCTGGCTGGCTCGTTTGTTCGTTCCTTCCTTCCTTCGTTTTGGCCCATGCTTCTTGTGGGCAAGACGACTGGAGCGGTTCTGCCTGTGCGGATGGGTGTACGGGTTGGTGCACATAGATTGGAACGCAAGGAGCGACTGGACACAGCTTTGAAAACCTGCAACTGTTTTTAGTCCGCTGGCTTTTTTTTGCTTTTTCCGGGCAGTCTCTTTCGAGGATGCTGTCTTAACTTTAGCTGGCTGGTTCTACTTGTCGCACGGTTGCCCAACTTGCAAGCACAATCACATCACATCATGGCTGGTCGACCAAGGGCATATTGCGCAGATGATGTGTCAAGTACGCTCTCTGACGTGTGGGCGTTGCTTTTCAGCTACTGGTCGGCAAGCAGGGGGGGTTGCCAAGGAAGGGGTACCTGGAGTCTCCATGACCCTTAAAAGATGGGTCAATGACCCCATTATTTTGGGTAATGACCCCATTTTTTAAGGGTCATGGAGACTCCAGGTATGTGTCAAGGGACCACGCAGGTTTGATGGCAAAGCGGGTTCCGTGGTTTGACACAACCCGTGCCGCGCCAAAAGGATTGATGCTGGACGATGATGGATCATATTTTCAACTGTTTTGATTGAACATCTTCACTGTGGGGGGGGTTCTTTTGCTTTGTGTTTAACATTTTAAGGTTCACTAATTATTATGGACCAGACTCGAACATCTTGTCTTTGATTGGGTTTTGGGGGGCGTCAGTTTGACACGGACCCAAGGGCAGCTCTCGCCAGAGACGGTGCAGCGCTTGCTGCTGCGGCTGGCGAAATGGCGGCTTTTGCCGAGGGACTTCGACAAGGACCGATGACCAAAACGGTTCGCCTTTTTAAGGGCCCCCCCCAAGTGGCTTCGGTTTTCCTCTCGGTTTCCCTTTGAAACCAGCAGAAAGGCGACCTCAAAAAAAAACACCTCCCCCCCCCATAGTCCCGCGTTGGGGTTGTTTAAGCAACACCTCCTGTTTGCCAGTTTTTGGTAAGTTTCCTTCTGGTAGGATGACGGTAGCTGAATTTAGTTGGGCGCTGGGTGGCCGGTGGCTTAACCTCAAGTCGGCTTGATTTGCGCCATTAACTAGGAAGTGTTGGTTTTGCTTTCGGTCTCCCTTTTGAAGCATTGATGCCTTTTCTCCTTTGGTTGCGGTCGCCTGGCTTTGATCTTGGTGTCTTTGACCATTTCTCTTTTGGGTTTCCCTTGGCTTTGACACCCATCATTTTGAACCTTGTCTTCTTTTTTGAGGGGGTTGGTTGGTTGGCTCGGTTCGGCGCGGTGTTCCCTTCAGCGAGGTTCTCCTAAGACGGGGTCGAGGGAGTGGGGTCAGGACGACCCCTACCTCATCGTCGAGCCTCATGAGGGCCTGAGGCAGGGCACCGCGGCGCGTGTCTTGGTTTCAATGAATGGGTCCCGGATCCAATTCCTTGGCCGAACGGGTTGGCCTCAAACTCAAAAAAAAGAAAGAAAGCAACAACAACCAACAAAAATCGAATAAAAGAAGGCTTGTGTTCCCTTGGTCCCCTGCAAAACCCAACCCCCCAAAAAAGGGAACGAAGACGAGCCTCAACACACCCCATGTTTCAGGCAAGGGGCCCAAACCCTCACCCAAATGGGTCCCTTTTGGAGGAAATGTGCCCCAACCAGGAATCTGGAGTCAGGTTCCAAGCTACTGTCCAGTTTTTCACAGAGAATCTTGATACCACACTCACTCACTCACTCATTTGGAAGTGCGTAGTTTAGGTTGCTCAGTACGGAAGCTCCTAGCAAGTTGTTTGCCTTGGCGTTTGAGGTTTATTCTGCCAAGAATTGGTTCTTGGTTTTTTGACTATCACACCATGCGGAAGAGTATTATTTGGCGGCGATTTGGGGTGGTTGGGGGGGGGGGGGGGGCTGGGTACAAGTTCGCCGCTCTTAACACACCGGAGCCTTCAACCATGCTTCAAGCGAAATGCACCCCGAGATTGGGAGACAGACAGCACGGAAGTAACTGTCGGAAGGATTCAAGTTGAAGAAAGACCACATTTGACTCCCTCCCAAGCCTGTTTATGCAATCCACAATCCTGGTTGGGTTTACAGACCTAACAGAGCCCCCCAAGCGGTTTGTTCAATCGGGCAGAAGGGTTGTTGGATCGATCCGACTCACAAGACTGCATTCGGATTTGTCTCGGGTCTCTCCAAGCTTGGTGTACTTTTTGTTGCTTTTTAGGGTTGACTAAAGATGATGAACCATGTTCTCAGCATACTATGTTTGCAAGCAAGGGCCTCGATTTTCTCGCGAAGTTTCCCTTGTGAAGCCCCACAAGGGGTGCCAACTCCCAAACAACGGGCATATCCACACATGTTATGCTGGAACGCCAGACAGTCTAAGAAACATGCACTCTTGCTGGTCTTGCAGCTGTTTTGGCTGGAGAAAAGTTAGCAGTCTTTTTTTCATTCAGGGGATTGACGACTCAGAATGAACTGCTTTCTATCCACATGCTGCTGCGTGAATCCTTACCAGAAGGAGAAGATGAACGAAGCGATTCTTCTCAACGACGCTGCAGATGAGTGGCCATCATTGCTGCAGCGGCTCTGTTTTTGCTACTGCTTTCCAAAAGCGCGGGTGAACCTTGAATGCACTTGACTCGCTGTTGCTGTTTTTGGGCCTGATCTCCCCCAATTAATCAGGCCCCGTGCGAACTGAGTGAGTGAGTGAGTGAGTGAGTGAGTGAGTGAGTGAGTGAGTGAGTGAGTGAGTGAGTGAGTGAGTGAGTGAGTGAGTGAGTGAGTGAGTGAGTGAGTGAGTGAGTGAGTGAGTGAGTGAGTGAGTGAGTGAGTGAGTGAGTGAGTGAGTGAGTGAGTGAGTGAGTGAGTGAGTGAGTGAGTGAGTGAGTGAGTGAGTGAGTGAGTGAGTGAGTGAGTGAGTGAGTGAGTGAGTGAGTGAGTGAGTGAGTGAGTGAGTGAGTGAGTGAGTGAGTGAGTGAGTGAGTGAGTGAGTGAGTGAGTGAGTGAGTGAGTGAGTGAGTGAGTGAGTGAGTGAGTGAGTGAGTGAGTGAGTGAGTGAGTGAGTGAGTGAGTGAGTGAGTGAGTGAGTGAGTGAGTGAGTGAGTGAGTGAGTGAGTGAGTGAGTGAGTGAGTGAGTGAGTGAGTGAGTGAGTGAGTGAGTGAGTGAGTGAGTGAGTGAGTAATTGGGTTGGATCTTCATTTTGAACCTTGGGCACCTTTGGCAAACTGATGATTTTCCCGCTGCAATATGAGTCGACCGGGTTGCACTGGTGTTTTCTGGATTTGAACCCCTGGTTCTCGCCCTCCTCCAATCCACCACTCCAAGCCATCAAAACAACTTGGAAGCTGAGAAAGTGTACTGTGGGCTTGCCCTTTTTTGCTACCCCCCAAAACGCGGGGGGTGGTCTTCCAGGGACCTCCACAGGCCCAGCGAACGACACAAATTTCGCGTGTCGAAGTCAAGGACCAACGGCATGGACCAGATCCCCCAGCTGCGGGGCCTGGCCGGGCTCACCGTCCAAGATGGCACCCACATCACCGGGGGGTCTTTGCAGACCCTGAAGTATGCCGCCCTGCAATGCCCCATGGAGTCAGGAAAGGAAATCCGGAGGGTAGGTGCAGGTCCTGATGTCGCTCAAATACTTATGTTTGTTTTTTGTTTTGGCCGTGTTTTTGTGCATCGGATGGATTCGGGAAAGGAAATCCGGGTTTTCAGGTTCCGGGGGCTGGGGATATAAACAGAAATCTTTCTTGGAGTGGAGTTCGTTGTGAAGTCAACCAGAAGGGGTGCTCCTCAAAAAATCGTCCGACAAAGCGGGGGGGAACTCGTCTTTTTCCCCTTGACAATCCATCGGTCTGAGGCTAAGTGGAACCCAGGAGAGCGGTCAGCCTACATGCCGGTCTTCAGCGGCTCTTGCTGGTGCTATGGGGGCACCACAGGTGCGGTAGCCCAGATCTGCCCGTTGCACCTTCTTTTCTTGGAGGGCGTCCCCGTTCTTGCCTGGCCAAATGCCCTTCATGGTATCCAGATGGGGTTGTGTCAACATAGGGAAACCCAAAAACTGTGCGGTTTCCTCCTAGTTTCCCTCTCAGCCAACCCCGAAAAAGGTACACACCCACATGTTTTGTTTTCATGGATCCTGAGGAGTGTGGGCTGAGAATGCTGCCTACGGCATCGCCGCGTGGATTATAAACTTCGCCAGGCTGGGAAATTATAGCTACAAATTCATCTTCTCGGAGGACTTCTTGTCCGGTGACATCGACACCTGCTGGCATGAGCCAGCGGATTTTCTTCTTGCTTTCTGCCTCTCTTTTATTTTTTTGGGGGGGAAGTGTTTCCATTTAAAATCAACCAAGGAAAAAAACGCGATGTCCCTTTGTGTCCCACTCCAGTGAGGACATTTGGATGAACTTGTGCATCTGCTGTCCCATGCTTCCTCCGTGGTTCAAGTTGCCTCGGTGCCTGGTGCACTTCACCTTCAAGCAGGACAACGGCTCGGAGGACGGCACGGACTGGTCGCGCTACAACGCCACCTGCGGAGGAGCGCCGCAGTTCTACTACAAGCTGCGCGAGGCTCCGTGGCCTTGAGGCCCTGGAACTGGATTTGTTTTTTTTTGGTCAGGGTGTCGCTCCATTTCTTTTTTTTTTTTTTTTGGGGGGGGGGCGAACCACCAAAGTGGCGATTGTTTCAATGGAAAGCACACGTAAACTGCTTAGCTGTTGAGGGGACATCCTGTGACTGTTGGTTCTATGCCACTGCTTAGGGATCATGACGAGGTCGCCCCAGTAGTTCTCATTTACCCTTTTTTGGGGGAGGGTTTCCCTGCTAAAACAGACTACCGAAAAAAAGGGCACCCTTATTCCAACCTCTCTACTGCAGGACCCGGATGAGTTTCCTTTTGGTCGTGCTTTAGCCAAGGTTTGGGACGCTGATGGCAACCCTGGCAAGTTCTTCGACAGGCTTGAGATTGTGCCGCAGCAACTAATGGTAAGTTACTGTGCGGAACAATTTTCGGTGCTTCACCCGGCGAACGAGGATTTTACAACACAGATTCTACATAGATGAGAGGCCAGAACTGTTTGATCAGCAGAAAAAGGGGGGCCAGTTTAATTGTTTTGTTCCAAGCAGCCGGCCGCTGCATACGCACCGGCCCTTTATCCCGTTTTGATGTTGTAGATGTGACGACACGGGCCTGCGCACAGCAGCTTCGCTCGCGCTCCGCAAGACACTCGGCAAGTGAGGAGATAACCCGTGATTGCCGAAAGGTGTCTGCGGCGGGAAGCGGCTCTCACATGTGCCACGGATGTTCCAAGCATTGCAAATAATCCAACCATACTCAACCTCATCACCATGATAGCTTATAGAGAGTTAGAGTGGTTCCTTGTCTCCTTTCTTTGGCGCATCCACCGCATGACCTGACGATGCGCATCGCATCAATGACACTTTAGCCGAATGGCCATGTGCAAAAATAAATCGCTCTCCTGGTGGTTCTGCTTTTGGCTTCCATTTGAAGCCACCCAACAACGGTACCCTTACAAAATACTGGTTTCCCCTTTTTGGTCCATTTTCAGTCATGGCCCTGGCTCGGGTTAACTGAGTGTGGGATGGTAGGGGTCTTTGTTTCTCGGGAACATGGCCCCATCGCCAACCAGAGACCCCTAGGGAGAACCAGCAAAATTCTTGTCAACCTTCCCTTGCGTTTATTTTTAGTGGATCCCTGCAAACTCATTGCCCCCTCTGATTCCCTGCGGAGACCCGGCAAGTTGTTTCTCCCGAAAACGGCCCCTAGCCACCAAACAACTAGCAACTGAGACCCCGCCAAAAATGGCCCCTTACCACCCCAAAAACCCATAAACGCATCTGAGACCCGGCCCCGAACCACCCCCCAAAAACAGGAGAAGAACACAACAAACACATCTACACCCCGGGCCAGCCACGGGGTCCCGAGCGATCGACTTCCGCGGCCTGGGAGGTTCTACACCCCGGTGGGCCTGGCTCCAGGGCTGGACCGGCACGGGGAGGGCCTGGGCGCCTTCTTCGACCTGGGCTTCGGCTTCGTGGAGGCCGAGCTGGCGGCTTCATGGGGGGAGAATGAAACATGACTGTTTATGTCCGCTCAGGAAGAGATATGTTTGAGGTCGGAGTCCTCAGGGCAAGCAGAAGGAGGTGAAAGCAATGTTGGTTCAACATGTTAAATGCATACTATGCACAGGTGGATAACGCAGGGTCGGATGTGCAAACCCGACGCCAGTGGGTTGAACTTCCCTTGTTCAACTTTTTGAAGGGAGACGTCTTCTTTTTGCTTAATGCTTTGAAGGCATTTTCAGGATGAGTTTTGGAGGCATGGAGGTGATATACCACTAATATAAGGGGTGTATACTGTGTTACAAGCTTATAAGAGAAGTATATAAGCATCCATACATGAGCAGGTAAAATCTTCTAGAACGAGGTACCGCGGCCCTGCCCATTTGGTTGGCTAGTTTCTTTGCGGTGCCTATCTCGTGTTTTCCCGCACAAGTAGGCCTTGCTTGAAGGACAATGAACCCCCTTGACATGTTTTCTCTTTGGCGATTTCTTACAAGGTTGGATACTCAAGACTGGGGAAATGAATCAGATGACATGGGGCATTCGCCAAAAACACCAGGAGGAATTGGGGGTTACTCAAACAATATTGATGGGTATCCACAAGTGTTTTTGAAAAGCACATATTGCGGGCAACACGCAACGTGGATGCTTGCTTCAGCTTTAAGCGTGGTCAAGAGCTTTCGCACAAGCTTTGTTTGCTCCTCATCCTTTTGTGCGTGCTTTGCGTTTGCCAGCAAGGCCAAAAGGCAAACGAGTCATATGAGTCAACAGTAAAGCGGCCGTGCAAGAGCTGGACTGAGAAATTGGTACTTTTTGGAGACGACCACTTTAGTGGCAAACAACTTCTGGTCAGCCCACCCAGGAAGTTAGTACAGCCAAGAGTCGCTTGCGAGGCTCCAAGCCTGTGGGCTTCCCCCGCGCGTGTTGAAAAGCGCGCGCGCGCGCTTCCCCAACAAGCGCGCAAGAGCAGCGGACACTGCGAAGCTGGAAATACGTTTCCCATGTCAACTTCGGATTGGAGGGCCTCTTGTTCAGTTGGAATCCGCGTAGGGGCTTGTGTTGAAAGGGCTTGAGACACATAGGGAAAGAGCCCTCCAAGAAAATTATGTTCTTCCTTTCGGATTGCCATGAACCCCCGAAGAACGAGGGGCCCGAATTCATGCCTCCAAAGGCGGGGTCGGTTTCCCCTTTGGCTTCCATGTGAACTGCGCCATTTCCGGCCAGGTGGGCCCAGCTTCCGCCGCGGAAGCTGGGCGCCTGGAGGAGAATTTGCAGCGGAGGGACCTGAGCCAACAGATCGCCGCCTTCGGGCTGCTGGGGATCTGCATCACGGGCACCCGCGAGGAGCCAGCTGCCGGTGTCGAGGGTTTCTTGTTTGGGGCGAAGCCCCAATTGTTTTGGGCGGGGTTCGAAGGGAGCCAATTGGAAGCCAGCCCACTTTGGGCGGGGGGGTGCGCCATTTTGAGACACCCAGCTGTTGGATGTTGGGTGGGATCGTGATCGTAGTGTGAGCGAGGTTGGGGAGATGCTTCAGAAAGGGACGGTGTGGCTCCCTTGTTTGTTTGGCCCTGTGGCTGTAAAGCGAAACCCGAGAGGTCGTTTATTTGTGAACGGAGTGGGAAAAATGGGAGCTGGCCGAGACATGCAGGAGAGATATGTACCCTCCCACCCTTTTCACATGGAACCTGACGTTCGGGACCCGGTCCCCGTAAAAGGAAAGTGGTGCAAACCAGGCCCCCCCGACGTCAGGTTCCATGTCTCACATTCTTTCAGAGAAGCCTTCAGATGCGAGCAGCCAGTCTTGAGTTTTGGGCAATGTGTGTGTAAAAGATTGACTTAATATGAGCCAGTGCTCACGAAGCTCTCCCTGTTTCAGGACACCCTCATCGAATAGGGCATGTTGTTCTTTGATGACACTTTGTATATTGAGTGCAGCCGACCCATGCGGGAAAAAGAAGAAACAGACAAAGACGCAGCAAACTTATCATGGCAAGACTTTGAAGGGAAAGTCGTTGGAAATCCATTGAGGGCTTGGCCTTGCTTAGACTTTTAGACATCGGGCCAAAAGTCGGATTTCGTTTTATTTTTAATAGACAACTTGCGCTTGCCGGGCTTTTGACCTCCTGTTGGTCCAGTCCGTTTTGAGTCAAGGTTGCAGGTGAACCCTTTTCTCTACCCCTTGTTGGGCACCCTTCCCTTGTTCGGTGGCTCACCAAAAAAGGTCAAGGGGGCAAACCCCTAAATTCCCAATCCAAACGAACAATTGGAGGGAAACTGAACGGGTCCCTTTTCCACCATCACAGGAGGGCCACTGAGCCCTGAAACTCGCGAGGAGTTGCTGGCACAGGTCACGCGTCTGGGGCCTTACGCGCAGTACCTCTCCGTGGATTTTGCCGAGGCGTTTTGGTGCTTGTGACGGCTTTTTCCGATGGCTGATCAATAGCTTGTTGAAATGGGTTTCCCGACCTTTTGATCACAGTCAACCTCCACTTGATGGCTTAAAGGATCTTAAAGGTGTTTGCCAAAATGTCAAGTAACTTTAAGGGGCCCAGTAGAACTCTTACGGAACTTTTCAAGGTAGCTCGCAAGGAGCCGCCGGTTTTTGGTGCTTTGCTTTGTCAGGGTAGCTATGGTAGGTTCAGCCACCCACCTCTCGAATTCGAGCTTTGGGATACTGATCCCCTCAGTCCGCCGCGAGCGAGCTGTTGGGCTTCCGGCATGGGGTGCCCAGCTGAGTTCCGGGATGGGCCCGGAGATTCCGGCTGGCTCGAAGGGCACATGAGTTGGAATGACCCCTAGCCCATGCCTAGGCTTAGTTAAGCACGACCAGTTTTGCCAGCTCTAGCATGATCTTAACTCTTGCTCTCGCTCTCTCTCTCTCTGTCTCTCTCTCTCTCTCTTTTTTTGGCCGGGGGGTTGTTGGCGGTTGGGGAGCTTATTGACATGCTGACTAGTTTCACTCACAGGGTATTGTTAGGTTCATGCCCCAAAACCCCAGAGGATTCCCAAGTCGTATGGGACCCAAGACACTGAAGCCTCGGAGGTGGCGGAGGTCGAAGCCGCGAAGCTCCTACGAGAGCTGACCCTCGCCGCAGCCCAGCTGCCGGGCAGGCCCCGGATCTTTCTGAGGCCGGGAAAACAGCTGCATGGCTGCGATTTGGATGGATCCGTTTGCCTTGAACTGTCGGGGAAAAATAATGATATATGGTGCTTTTCCACGGTTTGGCTGGATTCACCTTGAACTGTTTGGGGGAAGGTCGTGCTTTCCCACGAATGAACAAACAGATACCAACAGTTCAGCTTTTTGTGCAGGGGGAATAGGAACCAAGAGAGGAGCACATTTTTCTGGTTGGTGGACATGAATCCTGATGTAACCGATGTCTACTAAAGGGTCCATTTATCAAGCAGCGCCCTAGCTGGTTCTACTACTTGGCAGAGCTCGGCTTCGCCTGGATGCATGCACTAAAACCCTGAGACAGCCAGGCCCCTCCTTTTTTTTTCCCCCCGCAGCGTTTCCCTTTGAAGTCAAATAGTTCCAAAATAAGACCATGGCCAGCAGGGGTCTGGGAACCTGAACCCAGAACCTTTGCTCATTCCTAGTTGAAAGCCGTTCGCTTCAGGCAACAGGGCGCGCGCTCGAAGTGGCACGAAGCCAGTCGTAAGAACACGAACCTTATGTCGACCAAAGATCAGTACCTTTTATTGGTTTTAAATTAGAAGGGAAACCAAGGGCGAGGGGGGGGGGGGGTCACGCTCAAGTAGGTTGAGCACCCAAGTATTTGCCAGGCTTCCATCTAGCTGGAGCGCTTCAGCGAGTCATGAGGTGCACAGGGTCTGCGCGGCGGAAACCGGGAAGGCGCACAAGTGCAGCACCCAAAAAGCGGGTAGTCTAAGGTTAGTGGGGGCAGTTCTGACCATAGGTGTGAATATCCACCCTCTTAACTCTTTGCATTGGTCTGGGCTGAGCCCTTTAGTAATGCTCGTTTTAGTTACGACACACTTCTTGCATGATTCAGTTCATGACAGGTTTAGCAATCTAAAGCAACATGGACATGTTACACTGGCCGGTGACCAGTGTGCTCTTGTGGTTGTGTCTTTGGATCTGCACCAATTTGATGGTAATATGAGGTTCGGTCTATGAAGAACTTCGAGAGAGACATGGTCACGCACAAAATTTTCACCACAATAACACAGTGGACGACGCCCCTAATTCTCCCGTGTCCTCTTGAGGAAAACTGGGATCTCCTCCAAACCGTTTTTAAATCTTAGGGAAAACTAAATGTGAACCAGAATCTGACAATTTATGTGGACCAAGGAAACAAGTCACGTTGAGCGTGGCTCATGTCTTAACACTTAGGATCCCAAGGTGCAAGGCGTCGATGCCATTTTGGCTGGGCAAGTGAAGGGTGGATACACCCAACTAGAAGCAGAGGCGGCTGGCGGAGTTCCAGTTTCTCAGATTTTGCAGGCACCGGCACGGGCTTTGCTATGCTAGAGCTCACCTCCTCGGTTCTTGGACGTACTACTTTTGGGGAAGACAACCGTATGATGGTTTAAATCAACAGCTGAGACGTGTTCGTTTGCTCAGAAGTAAGATAGACGGAGCCCACTGCTTGGATGCTCACCCTACCCAAAGGAAACCGTTGCTATGGACGGATTTTTATTTGGGTTGTGTCAAAACAGGCCCCTAAAAAATTGTGGATGTCCTTGTGGCTGCTCTTTGAACCAAGTGAACCAACCTGAAAATGGCTTCAAACTGAAATCAGCCCTCTTGAATGGATTCTATTTGGGTGTGTCTTTTGAGGGTGCCCAAAAAGTGGCTTTTACAAGGGAAGCCAAAAGGAAACAACACTGTTTTGACACATGCCGTGACATACACAATTCGGGTGTTCATGTTGCCAAGTGGCTTGAAACCATCACGAATCTACACATGTTTTTTTGAAAAGGGGTCGCCGGCAATTCTTTCGAGGAGTCAAATGGACTCGTCGATCCGTGCGGATCGAAGGGTTGGCGCAGGAGCGCCTGCTACGTGTGGGGGCGCTGGCCAGGGCGCTGCGGAGCGCGGAGGCGGCGGGGCTCATCGTGTGCCGGAGACCCGGAACACGAGACATATGTATGTGTATATATATATATATATGTATGTAATATATGCATTATATTGACGGTGTTTACACTACTTTTTGGGGATTTCCACCTTTTTTTTTGGGGGGGGGGGGGAAGTTATATATGTATATATATATATATGTTCCAGGCCGTGGACGCCCCCCCCCCCTCCCCCCCCAACCCCCCCCCCCCCCCCCCTGTAGGGTGGGGTGGGTGGTGGGGTGGTGGGGTGGGGGTGGTTGGGTGGTTGGGGTGTGGTTCGGAGTTGGTTTAGGCTTGGTGGGTTGGTTTAGGGTTGGTTCAGGGTTGGTTCAGAGTTGGTTTGCGGTGGGTTTCGGGTGGGTTTGGGGTTTGGGTTGATTTAGGCTTAGGGTTTAAGGAGGGGTTGCAGGGTGGTTTGGGTGTTGGTTCACGGGGTGAAAGGGGGAGTCTGGGACCGAAGCTGCAGGGCTCACACGGTACTGGACAGCATCCCCAGCATTGCCAGCATCATCCCCAAGATGAGATGCGGATGATGCGGGGGAGTGGGGGGACCATACCATTGGGGGGGGGGGGTACGTGGCCCAGGGACTGGTACATATATGATATAGCAGGGAATGAGAAATGGAAGGACCCCGACAAAAATCGCCCCCGATTTGGTTTCCTTTAAGGGACTCCCCTTCCGGTTCATTCCCAAGATCCGGAAGGTCATTCCCTACCTCGCGCACGTTTCGCAAGTTGTTTTTCTCCGAGGACCCCCTAAAGTGGATTTCGGCGGGTTTCCTCTTGGTTTTCCTTAGCCGTAGCCAAAAAGGGGTACCCTCAAAAAGATTGAGACGCACCCATATGTCGCCTTTATGCTTGTTTAACCACATGCAACCAACTCTGCAGTGGTGTCTTCTTTTGAAGCAACCACACAACAGGTACCCTCGAAAACCCCCATACCTGGGTTATTTGAGGGAATCCAGTTTGGGTCAATTAAAGGAACACTGAATGGAGAACCCATATCCGCCAGTCTCATGGATCCGGGTCCCGATGAAACGATAGTTTGGAGTTATTGTACTCATTGCAGATATAGACTGTGACTTAAACTTAGCCATATGGGTGTGCCTTGAATTAGGGGACCCCTGAAACTGGTGGGTGTCCTTTTGGTTTCCCGCTAAAACCATACAAGAGGGCAGCCTCTCAAAAAGAGACAGAGGTATGGTAAGCTATATATGCCAAACCTGCGTAACGCCTGCGTAGGTGAAGATTGGAACACTGTCCCAACAAGCAGGTGTGATCTTAATACCGGGTTTGACATTTTGACTCAGGTGAATCCCTGACTAAATCGGGCTTGCCTTACATGGATCTCACCGGTAGGTTGTTTGGGTTGCCCTGTTTGGGTTGCTTAGAAAGGCAAGCAACAAGAAAGGTCAACTGATTTTGGTCGTCTCAAAAAGACTCCTGAGATGTTAAGCCTACCTACTTGGAAAGTAGGTCATGACCAGGGTTTGCAAGTGGGAGAACAGAGGTTGGTTTTCTTCTTGCCATGGCTGTCACCTACTAAGTAACATCATTGTTCAGCGGGGAAATGGAATTGAATCAAATACCCAAGAATATGAGTCTGGAGCATGCAGCCCTGTATGTACCTTGGGTACAAAGCCCCGCAGAAGGAACCTGGGGCAATTCCTCAGGAGTCCACTCGTGGAGGGGTAGTAAGTTTGTGGATAAATGTAATCATTGTGATGTGAACATCTCGAAATTGAAGATTCTCAAACATGTTTTTGGAATCTATCATGATTATAACTACACTTATGCATCAAAGCACCAGGTAGCTATATAACACAATAGATAAAAAAGAAACACCACAATGAGCATAATATAAATATATATATATATATATATCGATATTGTAGACACACCTCATGTTCAAATGGCTTGGAAAGTGGAGTCCCATCTGCTGGCTTTGGGTTCAAGTCATTGAGGCTCCGGCTAGAGAGGTGTGACGTGGATGGGTGAGGGGCTACAACAGTGAAGCCCAAGTTTATCCAAAAATCCAAGCCGCCGGCGGATAGGCGCCTCGTGTGTTTGGCGGAACAGGTCCTTCTGGGTCGACGTTTCGGATCTTACACTCCCTCAGACTAACCTGGAAGCTCCCAGAAGGCCTCTGTACATGGAACCAAGTCTTCCAAATGGGGTCCTGGGAGCTTCCATGTTCGTCTGGGGGAGGGTACATCTTTGTTTCCGATTTAACATGACCAAAGGATCAACGAGTCTCAGGTTTCAGATCGAAAGTGGACCAACCGCATGGGCTGGAGGCCTCGGCTCCAGAGGTTGGAGGCCTCAGCTCCGTCTGGCTCAGTGAGCTGACTGCGTTGTACTGGGATGACTAGGGCAGGCTGAAGGAGTGACCGTGTGGGGTCAAGAGGAGCTTGGGGTGTGTCCACTTATTTTGGTAATCCCTGAATGGGTTTGCACCTCCATCAACCAACGCATAGGTTTGTGGCCGAAGTTCCACGGGGCCTTCCGTCCGGACTCAGCAGATCTGAAGAGCGGGGCGAGCCATGTTGAGCAGCCTTCCGCGCTGTGCTTCTTGCCTGCCGCTTCGGCCGCTCACCCGATCCATCCGGGTGCAACATGTGAGGCAGACGGGTTTGGATGCGGATTGTGTGACACGGAAAGCATCACTTGGAAGAGGATTCCACCACAATGGGTTTATAGAACCAGCACATAAGATTCCATGCAATGCGCTTTTCTTTGGGTGGTTTGGTGGAGACCATCTCCGATTGCACAACTTAATCTAGTTCCACTTGGTATGCATGCACCAGTTTGTACATGTTGTGACAAATCTTGCGCAGCGAACACTAAATGTGGCTTTTTTGGGGGCACCCCTGTTTGGTGGATTCAAAGGGAAACCAAAAGGAAACTTACCATTTCGGGCCCCTACCAATTTACACGCCCATATCCAGCAGGGAACATGGTCGTAGCTTCTTTTAGCAGTTGCCGTGATCCGGACATGGATGAATCCCCATAACCAGCACATCGCGTGGATCTTCCCGCCAATGGACATGACATCCACCACTATCCACTTCTTTTATGACTTTGTCACTTTGGAGCACAGGAAGTCTTATATTAGGCTTATTAGTCTCTGGTATATCTTGACGTCTTACATCTCTTAACTTTTGGACAACAATTTGGACAGCAATTCTAAATCTAAGATCTTATTATCTTATTTTAAAGGCTATCCCATTTGTTTCCATTTGCTTTCATTGTCACTACCTATCTTATTTGGCACACGTTTTTCTTAAAGTTGGGTGACAAACACAGTTCTTTGATCCCATATTTGGAGGATATCCTATATTCTATCAACATGTGTTTGTTTTTTGACATCCTGAAGTTGACATCTCAAGATTTCCTGCATTTGGGATCATTTCCATAGGGCTGCCTAAGCTAGTGCTTGGGTGCGATTTGGTGTGTTTTCCCAATCAACAGGTCAATTCTCTTGCCCTGGCAAAAGCCACCGGGAGAGTGGTGCTGGACATTTTCTGCCTCTATACTTTGTAAGCGAGCTCCCCGACTCGGGGGTATGACGAGCTCACCATGACAAAGGTGCTCTAGTTGGATCCCCTTAAATCAGCTGTTGGAATTATACTGTGGATGGACGAAATCCTGCACCATCTATCAAACAATTGAATAATGATGTCCCTTAAATACCAAGAACCAATGCTTTCCCATGGTTTCTTAGGTGGTGCGAAATGGACTTCGTCCATCCACAGTACTACCATTTGCGGATATTTTGGTGCTGCTGACAGGCCGAACTGGGAGCCGGCGCGGGGCAAGCACATTTTGGCGGCCACGGTGCTGGCAGCAGCCGCGCTTCCTTGGAGTGACCGGAGGCGGGGGAAGATACCCGTCACTAGGTGTCCCTTGGTGCTTTGGAACATCTGTTGGGCCTTTGGGTGAGTTTCCTGTGGTAGGGTGATGTTTCAAGCGGGGAACACAAGGGAACCTGCAGTTGAACCTGACAGATTCGTGGGGAACACCACCCTGATTGACTTGAATCCCCTACATGTGGGGTTGCGCCCATGATCACCCAGTCGTTTACTCTGTGAATCTCGGGTCAACTGCTTGGAAATGAGGTTTGATCTCTGAGACCCCAGAATAGGGCTTCTCTTCTTTGGTTGTCCTTTCACGCAACCCCAAAGAAGAACACTCCCTGAATTCCTGGACTTAAAATGGTTGGGAATGCCATTTCAGTGGCACACACAAGTTTGGATTTGTTGGGGTAATCTACTCAGCGAGCAGGAAGTGAAAAAAGGGCCCCCGGTAGCCTCACAAAAGGAAAAGACACCGTGGCACAAAAGTAAGCAAAGCCATTGTACCAAGGTCATGGACATAATTAGGACAATTCGCATTCAGGTTTCTAAGGGAACCACAATGGCCCAGAAACTGATAAGACATGGACTACACAAACTGACCTGCACAAGCGATAGAAAGTGGGCCATGTCTCAAAAAAAACTGTCCGGTCTCCTTTTGGTTTCCCTTTGAAACAATTGCGGAACAATTCCTCCTCGTGGCAACGATGCTCTTTTGATTTCCCTCTGTTCGGGCTCCGATTCCAGCCATTCCCTGTGGACAGATGCAAGACTCACGCTAGGCGCCTAGCATCAATGAAGCCCGAGTGACATAAACCGTCTACCACTAGGTCCCCAGTAGTGCCCTCTTGCCCTTTTTTTGCGGGAGGGTTCCCCTACTAAAATAGACTACAGGAAAAAAATCGGGTACCCTTATTCTAGCCTCTCTACTGGAGGACCTAGACCAGCTGGTGTGGATTTTGGCTAGCTGGTGCCTTCAAGCGCAGGCTGGCCCGGGCCCAGCGCGGAAGCGGCCTGCGATGCTTTGCGAGCACAGGCCACCCCCTTTTGGGTGTCTTAAAGTGCGCTACTGGATCGCCAGTGTCCGTTTTTCCTCCCCAGCCCCCAATTTCACCGTCCTGAGGGCACAGTGTCTGGAGAAAGCGGC